AAAAGGGCACTGCCCTAATAGCTGAACTAGGTGTGGTAATGGAATGGGACTGTCCCACTGGGGGAAGTAGCGGACCTGCTTACCTCCAAATCCAGGGTCCCTGCTGCCGAAACCCGACCCAAACCCTGCCCTTAAACCATGGATTGACATGCCCTCTGGGGAACTGCTTCTGAGCTGGAAAAGTCAGAATAATGAGAAGACGGCTGCGATTGTTGGAAGGTCTATTACTGCCCTCAAGGACCACACAAGGGAAGTGGTGCGACATAGACTCCTTGTCCTTGTTCCCCAAAGCAAGACTACCAACCAAAATTTTAAAATTTTTTTGCCTAATATGGACAAGTTTGAGGAACCCACCATGTCCCAAAAACGCACCCTCTGAAAATGGATGTGGGCTGCCCTAACACCCGTTTGGCCCGTAAACAGCGGAGCTCCTGCTCAGTTGTTTCAGCAATCTTTGAACTGGTGCTGCATTAAGATGGTTTGTAAGCTTGGATCGTTATCCAAAATGAAGAATTGCGGAGGACATATGCAATGCTGTTCAACCACGCAGTACCATATAATATCGCAAAGTGGATGTTACCCGGAGGGAGCTGGAAAAACCACTAAACAAAAGAACAATGAGCCTCTTCTCCTCGTTTCCTTTCGACCGGTGGAGTAGCAAAGCTGCGCTCAACACTATTGATCAACTCCTCCCGACCGCTTGAACAGGAACAAGTGACATAATAATCCAAGGAAATTTTCACTGCCTGTTCTACCAGTCACAGCTTCAAAAAACACAGTACTTGCCTACGTTCCAAATCGCTCATTGCGACTGCAACTAAGTGGGAAGACTTAATCCAGTTGCGGTCAAACTCAAAAGAAGACTCATACAAGAAGCTGAATCATGCTGGGACTTGAAAAACCGTCTACAAGACCTGGTTGAGAAATGGGCCCATCATCCCCAAGAGCAAGCTGAAACATCAACCAAATCCCATTGCCTAACCATGGAATAAGCAAAAAAAAAGAAATGCTGAACAAGATCGTCGATCCTTTCGAAAACCTTTTCTTAGAAATGGAAGTGAAGTTTGTGTCTGAGAAGGCTTGAAATCATAACTCCAAAAGAAAACAATCAGGTAATTGTTTCAATGACAACAACACAACATGTGGCTGATCAATTGAAGCATCGAGAAGAACAAAGTCAACTACAGTCAATCAATTCCTAGGTTCCAATCACAGGTCCACCTAGATGTCTACTCTTTTAGGGTCTAGGTTTTTTCTTTTCATTTTCATTTCCATTTCAGTTTTTCATTGCAATTAGATTTGTAAATCTGAAGTGTCTTTTTGTACAACAAATTTTGTCTTCATCAATAAAAAGGGATCAGTTTTACGTTTCAATTCATGTTTATACTCTTTTCCCTAATCCTTTCCATTGTAAAAGCACAAAAAAAAAATCGAGAAAAAAAATAATAAAAAAAATTTGATAAAAAAGATAATGAGTGGAGCATAAAAAAAAATAATATAATAAAAAATTTTGGCCAAGCGGAAAATGTCATTTCCATTTGCTCTGGCGATCAATCAAAGCTGGCGGGCATTCCTAAGAAGCACCCATCCAAAGGGAATTGATTAAGCGGTAATCATGGAAAGGATCCCAGCAGAAGGGTACGCAAGGACTTCACCAACCAGTACGTGAGGCAAAGCCGATTGAAGGGGTTAGGCCAGGAATGGTTTCTCTGAAAACCCAGAATGGGAAGATGCGTCTTGACCAGAAGGTGTCTGAATTGAGCTAAATACAGCGACAGAATAAAGAAAAGTTTATGTTTGAATTGGCGTTGGGTCTGCACGACAAGTCGCAATTGCTATCCAGTACAACTACCTCAAAGTCATCTCAGAATCAGAGTTAGCCTCGAAAATTCTTTATGGAGAGGCTGCTTTAAGCAAATAAGCAAAAGCAAAAAAAATGGATCAAAAGGAACTTCTGCACAAAAAGAAAAGAAATAAGGGACCAGGCTATAGAAAATCAAAGTTGCCCCAAAAACGGGTCCAACTGCAAGGATCTCTCCGTTAAATTGAAGCCCATCATAGGGTTTAGATGCACAAATCATTCAGCCAATAAAGGACCAAATGGACTCAAAGGTCGGCTCTCACATTTGGAAAACACTTGAAAATCCAGCAAGCAGCCAAGCATGGCACAAGTACAAGTGTCCTTGTAATAACAAGGATCATTTCTCAAAACTAGCAAAAGAAGAGTCTCCTCAATAGACTTCCTATATCTAGTGGAGAGCGAGAAAACTCATTGAGAAAAATAAGTTTTCAAAATTCAGAGGAAGATAAAGTGTTCAAGAAAGGAATGCAAATTAACCCTCAAGAACATTCAAACATGGCGAAGCACAAAACTCCAATATGCATAATAGCTTCTTCAACACTTCAAGCCACTCTCATATGTCTTACCCTCCACACTTGGGGTATTTCCAAAACTCTTTGTTGATAATACAAAGTCACGCATCTTATTTCATATTCTAGATGTCAGACCAGGGGTTAAAACCACTACAACAAACAAAGTCAGATCGCCTAGGATCATTCATCACTTATCATAACGAGCTTGAGCTCAATAAGTTGATTTCAACATCATCAAAGTCGGGAATGTAATCCCGTCAAGACATCAAGCCGGGAAGGAATCGCCGCGAAAGAAATCCAAAGCCCGAAAATGAATTCTGCATCCAACATCAAGTCCCGGGAAAGAATCCCGCCAAAGAGATCCGTCGGGAAGAATCCCGCTAAGACAGTTTCAAGTCGGCGAAGAAATCCCCGCCGAAAGAAATCAAGCCGGGAAGAAATCCCGCGAAGAACAAATCAAGCCGGGGAAGAAATCTCGCGAAAAGAAAATCAAAGTCGGGAAGGAATCTCGAAGAAATCAAATCGGAAATGAATATCCACCCAATCAGCATGCAAGTCGGAATGGGAATTCTGCCCCAACAGCAAGTCGGAAATAAGTTCCGCACAAGTCGGAAATAAAATTCCGCACCAAGACGGAAAGGAATCCGCAGCTTAACATCAAGACGGAGGTATGAATTCCGCCACCAGCCGAGCACGAAAGCGCATCCCGAAAGGAAACTTAACGAAAGACCTGATTCTCCCCATCTCCCGAAGAGTTTCTTTAGAAGATAATGTAGGCACCACAAAGGCGCGGTCACAAACATAAGTTGCAATCATTAAAAAGCATTTCTCTTTGCGCAATATAAAAAATAAAAAAAAAAAAGAGAAGAAAAGAAAAAATAAAAAGCTGGAGTTGAAAAAACCCCGAAAGGGCGGCTTTTCAGGCAAAAAATGAAGCCCGCTAGGCTGAAAACCCGAAAGGGCTCTAACCCAAAAGTTAGGCCCAAAAGAGGTCTGCTAGAGTCGAAATAACCCGAAAAGGGCGGCTACTAGGCAAAAGTTAAGGTAAAAAAAAAAAACAAAACAAACAAAAAGTGCTTCATAGGTCTCCTTGGGAGTATATCAATCATTTTTTTTGTAAGAATCACTGAGTTCCTTCGAGTCTCCAATGAGTCTCTAAAATCAAGTCTCCATCACCAGTGGTCATTCCACAACGAGTCACAAAAATCCGAGTCAATTCTCAAAAGTTCGTTTTGAAAACGTCACTCTTTGAGTCATCCTCGAAAAAAAAAAAAAAAAAGAGAGAGAGGAAAAAATGTCATTCAATCCCCGGGTTTCCAAAAATAACCCTAAAAAAAAAAAAAAAATGTCCAAACATAATCATGAGAGGTAATTCTTTAATTACCTCACCTTCCACTCGGACCATCGTTTCTTCGATCCTTTCAGACGAGCCGATGTTTCATCCACATTGTCCGTTTCCTTCGATCATATAAGTGGCTTTGTTCTCTTGATTCCTCAATCCGTTTGACAAGTTGCCGCAAACACGTTAATGTTTTGAAGTTATTCCATGGTCAGCAACCCATCTCAGGGGCAAGAAGTGATAAGGAACCTTCACATTTTTCCCACACAGGAAAGTAATCACGGGAATTTTTAGAAGAAATTCTATTCAGCTTAATAATTGGAATCAAATTCTTCTCAAGCAGGGCAAAATCCTCCAAAGTCGGATTCAGGGGGCAAGTGTTATGAAAAAAAAAACATGCAGCCACCCAGGGGTGACGCCAACCATCGTCCAAACCCAGGGTAAGAAGCCCGGGTAATGGTTAACTTTTTACATAAAAACCGTAGGTGAAACCCTAACCAAATAACCAACCCAATTTTCCACCCAAAAACCCAAGCCGTTGCATTTTCATCACTTTAGGTGGACCCTTGGTTATCCTCAAAAAGAAAACAAAAAAATAAACAAAATCTCTTTTCAAGCCCCTTTCTATGAGAGGCAAAAAATCTCTTTTTCAAGCCCTCTGAGAGGGCCAAAAAAGTTTTCTTTGCAAGCCCCTCATTAAGAGGCAAAACATCTTTTCAAGCCCTCAACAAAGAGGGCAAAAACATCTTTGCAAGTCCTCTAAAGAGGCACGAATCTCCTTCACGCCCCTCATTAAGAGGCAAAACATCTTTTCAAGTCCTCTAAGAGGCAAAATCATCTTTTCAAGCCCTCATAAGAGGCAAAACATCTTTTCAAAAAGTCCTCTAAGAGGCAGAACTCTCTTTTCAAGTCCTCTTAAGAGGCAAAAATCTCTTTCAAGCCTTCATTAAGGGGAAAAACCTCTTTTCAAGCCCCCATGAAGAGGCAAAGATTCTTTAAGTCCTCAAAGAGGCAAAAACGTCTTTAAGTTGCAAAAACATGGAATCCATGCATATTGATCATTCCTTTTCAAAGAAAAGAACCAACGACGGGGTTTCCTCCCTCTGCCACTCTCAAAATTTGGCTCCTTCAGACATCCACGGCTCTCATAAATCCATTTTATGATTAACCAACCCATGGGCGGCAACTGTGAATACTCAAATTTTGAGGCTCAAAAAAGTCCAGTTTTTCCCGACTGCAAATAGTCCGCCGGACCGAGGGGCCCCATTTTGGAAATTTACCGAAAAGTATGCCAATATCGCTACTAAAACGTCCGGGACATCGCGAGGATCGCGAACTGGTCCCGGCAATATTTTTGGAGGTCCAAAACTCCCGAAAAAAGCCCTCCGGAAGTAAAACTAGAAAGTCCGCCCGGCCGCAGGTCGGTGGCAGCAGCCACCCTTCACGCGGCGGTAGCCGCTTGTCGCCCGGCCGGCAGCAGCCGCCGCCGACAGCGGCTGCTGCCGCCGCCACCCGACGCGCCCCGCTCGCGTGGGTTCACGGCCCAGGGCCGCCGGCTCAGGCCGGCCGAGCCCGCCTGAGATCAGGGGCGGCTGGGCCGCCGGCCATCGGCGGCTGCGGCGCGCCCGCCATCGGCGGTCCGAGCCGCCGAAGCCCAGCCCGCCGAAACAGGTCTGTATCGAATTGTATGATTGGCGCGAGTATCCTAGTAACTCGCTGATAGAGGGACGCCGGGCGGTCTAGGGAACAACATGGCCGAAAATAGGTGGTTCGCGGTTGGTTTATTAATCTCCGGTTCTTAGGTTTCTTAATGTCGCGCCATCCGTGTTTTTGCTATAAAAAGAGCCCCGGGGCCCTCCGTTTTCTCACACTCAGTCCCTGTGTTGACGGACGCTCCTTCTCCCCTACGCTCCTTGCGATTTCTTTACTTGCTTTTTCTGCATTTTTAATTTAGTTTTTATTGCTTCCTTGTTGTGATACTTTGGTTCAACTTAAATTAAATTAATTAAAAATTCAACCTTAACGAGGAGCTTAACCTGGAGTTAAGAAGTGGCCGGTCGATTAAATCAGGTATGTAAATCAAAACTCTGCCTATTTAATTTTAGCCACTTTCATGCATGGCTTCTCTTTCTTAACTCCTAATAATTCTACAATTGCATTGAAATGCATTCATATCATCATATAGGCAGTAATGCGCAATTAAAAAATATGATGTAAGCTTAAATGCCCGGTTTAATTAGATAATCGGTGGTATTAAAGCTTAAAATCCGACAATATTGTGCTTAAAATATTAGTCTCTCAATGGGCTATGGCGGTATGATTGCCTTTATTTCGAACAATTTTCGGCTTAAAGTCCAATTAATCAATTAATTGTGACTAAAAGGTCTTAAATTAATCACGTTCTCTTGGCAATAAAATTGCCTACATGCAGTTCAATTAATTACTTTGGCAAACAAATTTGCCAAAAGTTAAGATTAAGTTATTCTTTTAGCGGACAAATCGCTTAAATTAAAATTTTGGCAAAAAATGCCTCGAAGATTGCCTAAATCTTTTGGCTAAAGCCTTCAAAATACAATTTTGGCACAAATGCCTTTAATCACTTGGCGACAAATCGCCTAATCATTTTTGGCAAACTAATTGCCTAAATCCATCTTTTGGCTTTAAGCCATAAATCAATCAATTTTTGGCAGTAATAGCCCCAAACATCAATTTTGGCGACAATTGCCCAATCATTAATCATTTGGCAATCAAATTTGCCTAAACACTCTTTTTGGTTGAAATTGTCCTAATCAATCATTTGCGACAAATCGCCTAAAAATTAATCATTTTTGGCAATCAAATTGCCTAAATCAATCTTTAATGGCTAAAAAGCCCATTAAAATCAACACTTTTTGGATTTCCAAATGCCCTAAAAAATTCAACTCTTTTGGTCAAAATGCCTAAAACAAAATGCACCAAAGCATACACACACTTCATGCCATAAAGCACCCCCTTCAAAGCCCTTCAAAGAAGCCTATCGAACTACGTGGACTTTGATCTTTCCATTCAAACAGAAGTACGTAGCACGTTCAGGATTTCACCCGGGCGGCAAGTCGAAATCACTTTAAAACATGTCATTCACCCTGCAAAGCATTCAAGCATTCACTCATGGTTAGTATTCAGCATGACATAGTCTCGGGATCCCCATTCTCGGTTTGTCACACCATGCCTTAAACATCGGGTTAATTTAATCTAGGTAATTAGGTTAATTAAAATTGGAGTCAACTAGGGTTTTTTTCCTAGTTTACCCGAAAATAATTAAACAAGGTGCGTGATTTCACACATCACGTGCATTTTCTGCCTAGTCACATGCATTCACATTGCATTGATTAAATTTGGGGAGGGGTTCACACTATCAAGTTCCAGTCACGCCTACAGTTGCCATCACCAACCTCCACCAGCTTCACCAACTTCCACCATCTTCAACTGCCACTAATGCGCATCACTTGCTGACATCCAAAATCTATGGAAACACTGGAAGCCAGAATGGAGGCCCTAGAATGAATGAGGCATTAGCTGACCCAGAGAACTGCCCTAATAGCTGAAACTACGGTAGAGTAATGGAAATGGGGCTCCACCGCTGGAAGGGATCCTGCTACTCCAATCCAGGACCCTGCTGCTGCACCGACGTCCTTCAAAACCCTGCTTTTAACCTGATGACATGCACTCCAGAACTGCTGCTGAACTGGAAATCTCAGAAAATGAAAGAAAAACTGGAACTTCTTGGAAAGGTCAGACACTACCCTTAAAAACACATTAAGAAGTGGTTAGACATGACTCCTTGTCCCTTGTTCCCCAAAGGCAAGATTGCCGAAACCAAATTTCAAGATGCCTAACATGGACAAGTTTGAGGAAAACCACTTGTCCCAAAAGGCACCTGAAAATGTATGTGGTGCCTCAACCCGTTTGGCTTGAAAAACAGCCGAGCTCCTTTGCCTCAGTTGTTTCAACAAATCTCTGACTGGGCTGCTTTTGTGAGATTGGTTTGTCAGCCTAGATCGGACTAAAATGAAGGACCTGGGAAAGACATTTGCAATGCGTTTAACACGCAGTACCACTATAATATAGAGGTGGATGTTACTCGGAAGAGAAACTGGAAACCACCAAACAAAAGAGCCAACCGAACCCTTTTCCTCGTTCCTTACGAGGTGGAGGGGGCCAAGGCCTGCCCAACGATGATCAGATCGAGCCTTCAGAAACAAGAACAGGTAGACATAATCATCAGAAAATTTGTTTGCTGGTCTACCGAAATAACAATTGCAAACTCCAGTACCTACCCAACGTTCTGTCGCTCATGCTACTGCAACCCAAGGTAGGAGGATTAATCCAGATGGTCAAACTGAAAAGAAGTCGGGTACCTCAAAAATATAAGAAGCCTAGCCAAGCTAGCAAAGTTCAACGAAGTGGCAAGTATCACCCCACGAACCCTTTTACGATGTGGGGAATGAGAAATGGCAGCCAAGCGAGGAGGACTTACATGATCTCGGATGCCAATTTTGTATTCCGAGAGGCTTGTCAAGGCAAATTACATTAAAGGGCCTTTGGAAGCAGGCCACCACCCAACCCATTGCGAGAGGAACTATAGGGCTGATGATACTGTGAGTACCATCCAAGGTAACGGGCACAAAACGAAGCATGCTGGACGGCTTTAAGAACCGCAATCAAGACCTGGTGGGATAACATTTCAATCATTCCAAAGAGGCAAGACCAAAATATTAGCACTAATTCCTTTACAAAATCACGGGATAAATGCTATTCGTTCGCTGACCAGAATTGCATCGATCCTTTCGAACTATTCCTAAAATGAATGACATCTGATGTCCGCGACTGACATGACTTATCTGAATGAGGTCGATTGCAATGACCAGGAGGGGAGACAGTATGAACCAACTAGTTCTGGACCAAAGTCCAAATATAAGCCCTGACCAGGGGCAGCGTGAGGCCAAAGGAAGACCCCAGTACTTTCGCAGTTAAAAAAAAGACCCAGCTAGGTATCAATTTGGGAACTTCTGCCACATTCTTTCCCTCGTCCGCCAAGCTCTTGCAAGGCCTTGAGTCAAGCTAACAAACATCGATGGAGGTTTTTAACCCTGAACTGCTGGTATCCCACCCTTACACAAGCAATTCAAAGATGCAAAGCATTGGTTTTCCACACGAATGACTTGCCTAAGGAAAGGAGCAGTCACAATGATGCCACTCGAACGTTTACTGTTCAGACTAGAGGAAAAGACTGCCCATGTTCTTCGATTTGACAATGCCGTTAGGCATTGAATTGTCTGCCCCCTCAGCTTAAGGGTACTAGCTATCTGGGGTTGGATGAAGCAGATTTCAAGTCCATCGGCCAGATAGTCAAAAGGCTTATGACAGCACCCAGAGGAAGTGTTGGGTTGCTACATTTGAAATTAATAATTGGCTAGCATTGGGCCAGCTATGATGGAGGTCCCGTTCCAAGTAATTGATGTGCCTACCAGTTTCAACCTACTCTTGGGACGACCATGGATACATCATACTAATGCAGTGCCCTCTTCTTTGCATCAAAAGGTCAAGTTTCCTTACCAGGACAAAGTTATCACTATTCAAGGGGATGACTATAGCCAATTGAAGAAGACAAAGGGCCAGCCTCTCTTTGAGGTCAACCCTGAGAATGCCAATCTGCCCCTCTCAGGATTTCAGTATGACACAGTACAGTGCATAGAGGGAAAAACTGCAAACTCTCGAATTCTATTTGATTTCGGGACGACGCAAATAAACTGCATGATTCCTTTAATGTTGAAAATTTCCTACCTTCCGGGAATGGTTATGGCGAGGTCTGGAAAGACATACCCCACACTGCAAGTTTGGGAGTGTCCGGTGAACAAAGGGACCTTTGGGCTATGACATCTGTGTCCTGGACCTGAATGACTTATCTGAAGAGGTCGATGTAATGACCAGGAGAAGAAAGAAGAAGAGTATACAGATGCCGCCTTACCTTTTGACTTTGAATAGTCATTTCTGCAAACCGAGAGAAACAATTCCTTATTGTGGCTTCCAGGAACCATTCTACTTCCCGACAGCTAAGAAAATGCTGTCCGAGCTGGAAATATTTGCTGATGCCCGGGACAACAAGCTAGAGGCAATAACCGAGTTGGAGATAGAAGATCACATGCAGCCCAATCTCTTTGACGAGGTTGTAGTTATTACTAGTAATGATGGGAACCAAGACTTGTTGAGCCTGATCAAGCCGAGTAAAGGGCCTCTCACCAACTGGTATACCGAGGAGGAGCGCGCTGCTGAGAAAACCCTTCCCGAGCCAAGCCTAGAGTCTAGACCTGATGCCAAGTCCTATAGAGTCTAGACCTGATGCCAAGTCCCTGTACTGAGTCTGAGTCTGACCCTGAGTCTGAAATTGAGTTAGAGTCCAGTTTGAGTCTTCTAATATCGGATTTAGAAAATCCGGAATTTTAAATTTGATGTAATTTTTGAGGACCGATTCCGTTCCTTATCAATAAAGAGCTTACAGATCATTGGTTACCGCTGCGTTTTCAATTCTTTCCAAGCATATCTAAGGAAAAATAATGGAAAAGAATAAATGAAATAAAAAATGAAAAAGAAAAAATAATCAATTGGCAAAGAAGAAAATGAACATACATACATTGCATCTGAACTGTGTTGAACAGGGAACAGATCATTGAATACTTGAAGAAGTTTTGCGATTGCTTCCATGTTTGGAAGGCTAGTGACATCAAACCGGGAATTGACCCAGCAATAGCAATACACAAGATTCCAGTGTACCCCCGGGCTAAGCCAGTAAAACAGAAGCTAAGGAGGCTTGAAAACAGAATGGTCCCTTGAAAATCAAGGAGGAAGTTAGCTAAGCAATTGGAAAAACAAGTTCATAAGAGCCCCTATTGCCCTACCCAACATGTTAGCAACACAATAGTGCTGGTTCCTAAGAAGGATGGAAGGGTGCGAAGTGTGTTCGACTACCGGGACTTTGAATAAAGCATGTCCGAAAGGACGATTTTTCCTTTGCCTCATAATTTGACTTGTTTGGTTGACGCGAATGGCTTGGACACGAGATGGTCCTCCTTGACTGATCTCGCTGTCGGGTAACAATTAAGATAATGATGCCATTTGTCAGACAAAGAGAAGACGGCATTCAATCAACAAGTGGGGAACCCTACTGCTATAGGTCATGACTTTTGGGCTCAAAAATGCGGGGCAACTTATCCAAAGAAGGCAACAACTATATTTCCACGACATGATTATAAAAGAAGTTGAGGTGTATGTGGACGACATGGTTGTTTTAAATCGAAAAACAGCTGAAGAACATAACCACACGCGGCACTTGAGATAGTTCTTCCTTAAGGCTAGCGAACAGTACAATTTTAAGCTCAACCCGGGCAAAATGTCTGTTTAGAGCTACATTCCGGAGTAATTTCTGGGGCATATGGTCCAGCCGGAAAGGCATAGAGATTGAACCCTTCAAAGCCAAGCCATTTTGGAAAATGCCAGCACTGAAGAACGGAAAAGGAAAGAAAGGAAGTTCGGGGTTTCCTGGGAAGGCTACAGTACATCAGCCGGTTCATTAATCAATTGGCCGATACTTGTGGTCCGATCTTCAAATTACTCAAGAAGGGGGTATCCGTCAAATGGAACGAAGATTGTCAGAAAGCCTTTGATCAAGTCAAACAGTATCTATTATCTCCGCAAGTCTTGCAACCACCAAGGCCAGGAAAACCTTTACTATTGTACCTATTAGTGACAGAAGAAGCGATGGGTGCAATGCTAGCTCAACAAGCAGAAGACACCAGGGTAGAGAATGCCGTGTACTATCTTAGCAATAGCAAAAGAGCGATGCCCTAGAACTATAAGCTGAAGTATAATAAGATAGAGAAGTTAATAGCTGGCTCTAGTTTGGCTTGTACAAAAGCTGCAGCACTACTTTCATCCTATACCACATATTTATCTCTGAATGCGAACCCCTTGAAATTCTTATGGAGAGGGCCAAGTTTCTTGAACAGTAAGAGTGCTAAGTGGTGTCAGGCTAGCAGGCTTGATAAGTGGGTGTCAGTGCTCGCAGCTTATGACTTGAAATTTGTACAACGGAAGGCAGTAAAAGGAGGAGCCTTGGTTGACCAATTAGCGGAACTGCCCTTGGAAGACGAAATGAAAGAAGTGGAGTTTCCCGACGAAGATCTATTGAACGTGGAAAATGACGTTTGGGAGATGTATTTTGGTGGAGCTTCGAATTATCACATAAATGGAATTGGAGTCGTGTTCAAAACTCCTTGTGGAGAATACGTGCCAATCGCAGTCAAGTTAGATTTCGACTGCACCAACAATGAAGCCGAGTATGAAGCTTGCATTAAGGGGTAAGAAGCGGCCCTGGAAAAGGAGATAAAAGTCCTTAGGGTTTTCGGGGATTCCAATTTAATAGTCTCCCAAGCTCTAAGGAAGTGGAAAATTAAGAAAGAGAAAGCTTAAGGTAAGCGTGAAAAGTTTAAAGAGAGCATTTTGGTTCCTTAACTACAACGCGTTGGAGAATTGGCCTCAACAATTTGAG